ATTTCACTTAACATTACAGTCCCAAGGTCCATCCATTTCCCTACAAATGACTCAGTTATCTTTCTTTATAGCAGAGTACTACTCTATTGTGGGCAAATACCACATTTTCTTTATCCATTCATCTGTTGATGGACATACAGGCTACTTCCAAGCTTTAGCTGTTATGAATTGTGCTAGTATAAACATGAGTCTGCATTTATCACTGTAATATGATGCCTTTAGCTGCATCCCATCTCTTTTTTTATTTTTGTTTTGAGACAGGGTCTCCCGAAGTTGTTAAGCTGCCCAGGTTGGGCTCAGATTCCTGATCCTCCTGCCTCAGCCTCCCAGAGTGTTGGGAGCACAGGCCTGCACCACACACCCAGCTTTCACTTCCTTTTACCGTCACATATGAGATTTAAGATTTCAACATGTGAATTTCAGGGACACACATTCAGTCTACAACACCTACAATGGAGACATTCAGTCTACAATTCAATTCTACAGTGTGAGAAAGTGATTCTTTCTCACTTGCTTTTGCTAGTGCCTGAATTTGGTTCTGATCTTCTGTCCCTGAGGGCTGCCCTGTCTTTGGGTCTGAGACCCAAAGATGAGCTTTGGTTGACAACCTTGGGATTTGTGGGATGATCTAATGCTCACCATGGCTTCTCTGAAACTGACTCCTGCAGTTACCTGGACTCTGATCTTGCTGATAGCAAATCCTAACACATCTCTTTTAGAAGTATTTAACTCCCAAACTGATTTTTCTCATCCCTTAAGAGTCTGGAGTCTGTTTGTCTATGAAGTGCATCTCTGGCAATTACGGGAAATTTGGCCCATGTAAATAATGGTGGCCAATCAGAAAGCATCAGGGTCCAGGGTCCTGGGTCCTGGAAGGGAAATGCAGATCGATTTCCAGCACCAAGGAGAGCCCTTAGGGAGCTGTTGTACCAGGTGATCTGATAACGGAGGCCTTTGGTCCTGGGAAGCTCACAACTATCCCCATGGGTCACATCCACAGGGAAGAATTGCAGACCCTTGGGGTGTCAAATGGTTTCATCTTTTATGCTAAGTATAATTGATTGGTAGTGACTGCTCTTCTGGGGAGAAATCTTATAGAGGTTCAATAGGAAATTGTTCCAAGATTGATTAATGATGTCTGCTCTGGGTAGAAAATGAGTAACTATGGGTTGTTTGCTATGCATTTGCCAATTCTTTTTTTTTTTTAATTTCTTTAACAGTGATAAAATATACCTTTATTTCCTTTTTTGAGTCATAGGGTTGTAAAAAAAATTATTGCTAAAGTAGATATCAGGCAAAAAGTGCTTTAGAAATCCAGTTACCTTAAGTTTATTTAAACTAAGAGGGAAAAATCATAATGTTTTCATGCAATACACACTTTGTTCTTTAAATAACAATTGTGACAAATAGCAGAAAGAATTAAGGACTGTTGCACTTGTAATCCATATAAAACACCAACATGTTGGGTTGTACATGATTAAAGAAATACCTCTTTTTGAAATACTGTAATAGCCAATACACAGAGGCATGCCTTAGGTGGGCATAGGAATGCAGTGTAGAATAGAAAAAAAATCATACTGAAACTATACAATTTCTTTAAAATCACTCAGCAAGAAAAGCAACATTGAACTTTCATACTGATTTTACACAACTTCTATACTTACATCCAAGAGCAAAAGTTAAGACTCTCCTCCTTGATTTTTGGTAAATAACTGTATGGTAAACTTAGATGGCCTTTCCCCCTGGATTTTACCTGGGAGTGCCCTGTTTCATATTTTATTTAAAAGGGGGCACTTTTGGCACTTTTATACTGATGTCACCAATGTTAATATTTCTTGGGATCTCAGGAAGAATCATATTCTTTATAGCTGATAGACTATGGGCTGGAGCTCCTGCTAAGCCAGCCTCAGATTTCTCCAGTTTATTTTGTGCATCAATTTGTGTAACAATTTTATTCGTGTTGGTCTCCAGTATCATCCCCCCATCACCATTCCCACAACAATATTGTGAACCTTGTCTACATGGAAAATTAAATCCAGTTCACAGACATATTCAAAACATTTGTCTAATGTTTCCATGAACACTGGAATTAAATCCCAAATGCCAAGTTCACTTTCTGAAGAATCCACACAGAAGACAAAATAGTGTTGCATAATGTCTATCAATCAGTTTGTTGTCAGATCCTCCAATTAATTAGATTTAACTCCATAGGTCACAGTAAGTTACACAGTTTAAGACTGATTACCATAATCCTCCTTCTAGGAAATTACAAACATTTTCATCTCTCTTAGGTACCAAAAGGAAAATCTCCCTGGTGATTTGTTATGCATCTTCACTGTAGGCCTGGTAGAATTTGGAGAGCCAGGCTTGCCATAGTTGTTGGAGATGAGAATTGCCTTGATCATGGGTGACCTGGTGGGCACTGGGGCAGGGTGGAGGCGGGCACCCGAGCCTCGCCTCAAGATCTCTCTGGCTGTCCTTCCCACCTGCCCCTCTTCCACGCACACACGTGTGCCCCTGGATTTCCCAGTTCTTGTCTAGGCCTTGGGTATCTTGATTCTTGTGTTGGTCAGCTTTCTCATTACTGGGACAACATGTCTGACATACACAACTTAAAGGGGGAAATGGAGCTGGTTGTGGTGATGCATGCCTGTAATACCAGTTCTCAGGGAAGCTGAGGCAGGAAGATTTAGCTGGAGCACCACGGTTGTCTTTTGAGTGTATGTAATCTGCATATTTAAGGTTTGTATGATGTTTATACAGTTGGAAATTGTGTTCAGTCATTAGTAAGAGAGACTGAAAATCAGTAGTGGCATAAAAAAAGTAGAAGTTTTTTGTTATGTAAAAGCATCCTTAAGGTAAGCATCATGGTTATCAGGGACCCAGACTCTTCTGAACTTTCTGATCTGCCATTTTTAGTGTTGACCTCTAGTTCCTCATGGTCCTCAGTGGCTGCTGGAGTTCCAGCCATCATGTCCTTATTCAAAACAGAAGGAAGGAGAAAAGATGGAAAAGCAAAAGGAGAGCTGCCTCAGTTACCTGCTTCTTTGAATCAGTCTTCTCAGAAAACTGTCCTAATAACTTGTTCACATATTATTGTCTGGAACTTTAACATTTGGCCATCGCTAACTACGAGGGAGGCTGGGATCTGTGTTCTTTTAGGTAGTTATATTTTACTTCAGTTACTAATGAACAAACAAAAAAAGATACTGGCTGAGTAACTAGTCCTTTCAGTCACAATATATATATTTTTTGTTTTAACATAAATGCAATCATATCATATTCATTGATGTTTTCATACTCAAATACATTTTGAAGATTTCCCCAATGTCAGGAAATATAAATTCCTTTCAATATTTTTAACTGATATCCAGCATTTATGATTTATTTAATTATTTCTCCACTGGTAAAAATTTAAGTGTGTACGCACTTTGTGCATTGCATGATTCTGCAGAACAGGTTACCAGAAAAGAAATTGCTAGAGTATGAATTTTTTTTTTGTATCAGGGATCAAACTCAGGACCTTGCACTTGCGAGGCAGGCAATGGCACCACTAGAGTATGAATATTTAAATCTTGCAGAGAGAACACCAAATCACCATCCAAAAATATTTTATAAATTCACTGTCTGCCAATCATGTATTAAAGAAACCGTTTCCTTCATATCCTCTCTGGATATCAGTATTTTATAGTTTCTTCAAAATGAAGATAAATTTGCCTATTTTCATGCTAATTTCTATAATCATCAACAAGTTGAAATCTCATTTTGTTTATCACCTATATATATATTTTTTAAAGTTTACTGCTCAGATTTCCCCCCCATTTCTCTGTGGGTTTGTTTCTAATGGATTTGCTCTTTTTGATATATACGGAGTACAATATATTTTTTTTCTAGGTACTGAGGATCAAACTCAGGACCTTGCACTTGCCAGGCAGACCCAGCGCCACTGAGCTAAATCCTTGGCCCCCAGGATTTCTTTTATCTGTAATATATGCTACAAAATCTCTCCCATTCTATTAGTTTTCTTTTAATTTAATTTGTATTTCATAATACCAAAATTTTATGGGTATTTTGCCTGTCCTTTCGGTTAGTTAGTTAGTTTGTTTCTGAGATGGGGTCTTGTTAAGTTGCTAAGTGACCCCACGCTAGGCTCAAACTTGCAATTCTCCTGCCTCAGCCTCCAGGGTTCTGGGATTACAAGCATGTGCCACCACTCATAGCTTCTTTTCAGGTATTTTTTTATGTGAGTTTTCTGCCATGAGCTTGTGAAAATATTATTCTATCTTTTTAAAAACACCTTTATTTATATCAGCAGTGTTGAATACTTTTCTTCATATAGGCCATACACATTTCTTAAGTTTATTTCTGAATACTTTATACTATTTTATTTCATTATTTATTTAGATGTTTAAACTCTCACAATAAGTTTTTACAAGCTAGTGAATTCTGAAAAATTATTTATCCCACAGAACTATAACCACACGTTCCAGACAGTATAAATATATGGCTGAACTAACATTAGTGCACATTGCCGTTTTGTCAATTACATAATAAAACAAATTATCAAGTATCTAAATATTAAGTTACACAGGTCAAAAGACATATAAAATATGCTCAATTCATTAGTAGAAACCCTCTCTCTCTCTCCTTTTTTTTTTTTTTTTTTTGGTACTGGGGCTTGAAGTCGGGTCCTTGTGCTTGCAAGGCAGGCAGTGGAACCACTGAGCTGAATCCCCGGCCCTCTCTTCTTTTTTTTGCAAGAGGTTGGGAAGAGAAAGAGAAAGATCACGCTTCAAACAAAAATAAATTGGTAAACAACTTCTGATAAGTGTGGGAAAAATTACAAGAATTTCAGAAATTTTATGATTAAGAATTGTCAGCTACAATAACAAAGCATCTCTATCTTTAAAACATGTTTATTAAGCTAAAGAGCACATTCTACATGTTCTGCACAAGACAAAGACAACATTTGACTAATAATATTTCCCATCCTTTTTTTCAGGCCCTCCCTGTTAAACTGCAGGCATTAAATTAACTGCAAGGCTTGTTGGTCTGGAGACATAAAAGACGTGCTTCTGCAACAATGGAGATTTTCAAAACAGAGGTTTCCTATAACTTCCCAAAATAAGACCTAGAGGAAGACATTAAATAATCACAAGACTTGGTAGTAATTAAAAAAAAAAAAATCAATGGCTAAGCAAATCTGATGTATACTGGTATGAATGTGGGAGATCTAAGCATAAAGTGAGCAGGCAACAGCCATATAAGCCCTACCAGGTTAAAACGGCTGAGGGAATAAACCACATATGGCCTAGAGTGTTTCAGGACAATATCTCTCCAAATACAAACGCTTGCTGTTGAAAGCTCCACACCGCTCTTGTCTTAGGAAGCGCGCACGGTGTCTCCTATTTCACTGCACCTCCCATGAATGCTATGGCAACATGCCCTGGAACTCTCCGAGGCCTGCAACACAGCAACCAGCTTCTTCCGGAAACTGAGTTCTGACAAGATTTAACCAGTCATCATCAACCCGGCTGGACGATGGTGCCCCGTCACGGGAGGGCCCCTGGAGCACGTGGAAGCCCTCTGTCTCCCCAGGAGCAGCATCCCGAGTGGCTTCAAGTGCTCTCACTATGGCGGGAACTCCCTGCTTCTTAAATTCCTTTGTACATTTAAGGTCGCATTGGTTGGATTGTGTGTAATAAGGAACCTGAGGCTCTTGTTTGCGACTTCCACAGAGCTAGGTGGTTCTTTCGAGCCATGTTAATTTAATTTTTAAAAAACCCAATACACTCAAGAGGATCATGAAATAATTTTTTAAAAATTAATTTTATTGATACACTTTTGATATACATAATGATCACATTCATCATAGGGAATCTGTGCCTGTACATGTTATAGCTTGATTCTTTTTTTCCCCATTCCCATCTCCTCCCTTCAACCTTTCTTCCCCTCCTTATTTACAAAAGCTCTGTTTCCATTTTTTCCTTCTATTCTTTTTTTCCTTTTTCTCTTCCTTCCTTCTCTTCCTTTCTGTGCCTTCCCTAGTCCCCTTCCCATTTGAACATTTTCTTCCTACTTCCTAATATCTATCATCCATTTTGGTCCTTATTTACCCTTTTGGGTTTCTCACACAAGAGAAATAATGCCATATTTAAATATGCATGTTTGATTTATTTCACTTAAAAGTATGATCTCAAGGTGCCTCCATTTACCTAAAAATGTCTCAAGTTTATCCTTCTTTATGCCACAGTAGTACTCCATTAAATATAAAAACCACATTTTTTAATCCATTCATCCATTCATGGATATCTGAGCTGTTTCCAAGATTTAGCCATTACAAACTGTGCTGTTGTAAACAAGGGTGTGGATATATCGCTGTGGTGTGATGCTTTTAATTCTTTTGGGAAGATAACCTAAAATGGGAATAGCTAGCTCAAATGGAACCTCTAGTCTTAGGTTTCTGAGGAATCTCCATACTGATTTTCATATTGATTGTTCCAATTTACACTCCCACCAGCAATGGAGCAGGGTTCCTTTTTCCTCACAGCCTCGCCAGCATTTGTTATTGGTTGATTTCTTGATGATAGCCATTCTTTCTGGGGTGAGGTGGAATCTCAGTGTTGTTTTAATTTGCATCTCTCAAATGACCAGTGATGTCGAACATTTTTTCATATATTTATTTCCTGTTTGCACTTCTTCATCCGGTAAGTGTCTATTCATTTCAGATGCCCTTTTTTGGATTGGGCTTTTAAATTTGGGGGCCTGATTTTTTTGAGTTCTTTATACAGTCTACATATTAGTCCTTTGTCAGAGGAACATCTGGTAAACATTTTCTCCCATTCTGTGTGTTGTCTCTTCACTCTATTGGTGGTTTCTTTTGCTGTGCAAAACCCTTTTAATATGTTGTCATCCTAGTTGTTGATTCTTTGTGATAGTTCCTGCGTGATCTGGCTTTTGTTCATAAAGTCTTTGCTACACCCATGTCTTCAAGAGTTTTACCTATTCTATCTTCCAGCAGGTTAAGTGTTTCTGTTTTAATATTTAGATCTTTGATCCATTTCGATTTTAGTTTAGTGCATGGTGAGAGATATGGGTCTTTCTTCAGCATATGGAAAGCCAGTTTTCCCAGCACCATTTATTAAAGAGGCCATCTTTCTTCCAGTGAAGGTGTTCGGCCCCTTTGTCAAAGATGGGGTAGCTGAGTGTGTTTGGGATTGTTTCTGCATCTTCTATTCTGTTCCATTGATCCTCAGGTCTGGTTTCTTGCCTGTGCCATGCTGCTTTTATCAAGGTAGCTTTGTAGTATAATTTGAAGTCAGGGATTGTGACGCCTCCTGCCTTGCCTTTGTTGCCCAGAATTGATTTTACGATTTTAGGTCTCTTCTGGTTTCAGATGAATTTTGAGGTTGTTTCCTCTAGTTCTGTGAGGTAAGCTATTGGCATTTTAACTGGGATTCCATTCAATCTCTATAGCAGTTTTGGAAGTAGGGTCATTTTCACCATATTGGTTTCTCCTTTGAAAGAATGTTTTAAATTGTATAGAAATGATTCAAGAAGCTGAAGTCTACTTCTATATACTCCACTTGAACGTCTCGGCACTTTGAGTAATGTTGGGAATGAAATGAGCCCTCTAACAAGAAGCAGCAACCCTTCAGTCAGTCATAGTGAGGCAATAGAGAGGAAGTGCACTAAGGTTTATTCCATCCAGGTCAGAACTCCTGCAAAATGCTCTCTGGATTTCATTTGCCATTTCTGTGTCCATGGTAGCCACTCTTACTTCTTGGTGGTGTAGTAGTGAATTTCTGCAGTTCACTTGTCTGCAGAGAGGTTTGTCATGCCTGGCGGTAGTCTACACTCCCTTCAGAAACTCCATGACTGTGTGACCAAGAACGTCACAGAAAGCTGTATGTTTAATCACTGAAGATTGTGGCCTAATCACACAGCAAGTTCCAAGGGGGCATTTTCGTTTGCTTGTTTGCTTGTTTTTGTTCCTTTTTTTTATTTTTTTTAGGTACCAGGGATCAAACTCGGGTCCTTGAGCTTGCGCAGCAGGTGGTGAAACCACTGAGCTAAATCCCCAGCCCTCATTTTGTTCTTTGAGACAGGGTCTAATCATGTAGTTTAGGCTGGCCTTGAACTCACAGTGATCCTCCTGCCTCAGGCTTCCAAGTACTGGGATTACAGGTATGCACTACTCCACCTGGCTTACTTTTTTACACCATTGTGAGTGAGATTTTCCTTATGGAATTTTATAATTAATTAGTACTGATGGTGAGGAAGACTATTAATTTTTTATGTCAGTCTAATATCTAGCTTCCTTGCTGAATTCTCTTATTTGCTTATAGCAATTTTCCATTATTATCCTCTTGGATTTTCTATTCTTCTTGTCTTCAAAGTGACAGTTGGTCTTTCCTTTTCAATATTAATGCCAACTATCAATCTGTCTTCTATTTTATATTCTTCAAAGTAAGTTTGAGGTGTCAGCATACTTTACCCTTCAGCACTCCAGCCTGTGTAACTTTAACTTGTGTTCAATACTTGTTCACAGTTTTGTCATTAAACAAAAATACCATACAATGAAATGTCGAATCTTAAGTGCATCATTCCATAAACTTTGATTGATGCCCATACTTCTGAAATCGAAACCTCCAGCAAATATATAACAATGCCATCATCCAAGAAAATTCCCTTATCCCCCTTCCCAGTGAAGCTCATTCTAGTTCTCTTTCGGTAACAACCAAATCCATGACTACAACTCTTTCCACCACTGCTCTGCTCAATGGTTTTGTTTATTTGTGCTACTGGAGATAGGACCCAGGACTTCACACAAGCTAGGCAAGTGTCCCACCTCTAAGCTACATCCCCAGCCATCATCATGATCATGATCATCATCATCATCATCATTGTCATCATCATCGTCATCATCATCATTGAAAAAAGTTCTAAGTTGCCCGGGCTGAGTTTGAACTTGAGATCCTCCTGCTTCAGGCTCCCAAGTAGCTGAGATGACAGGTGTGCACCACTGTACCTGGTTTGTATTAATTGCCTTTGCACTCAAAATAATGATTTTTAATAAGATTTATCCATACTGTTATCTTTGTAGCCTGTCCTGTTATTACTAATTAATACTTTATCGTATGAATACATTATAATTTATTCTCTCATTGATGGACATTTGGGCAATTTTCAGTTTGGGGACAATAAGAGTAGATTTTTTAGGAAAAATTGTTGCACATTTATTTGGGGAGATTTTCATTTATATTTCTCTTGAATAAGTACCCAGGAATGAAATTGCAACATCATAAGGCAGATGGATATTAAGTTTTATAAGAAATGGCTAGAACTTTTTCCAAAGTTGTTATTTTAAGACTTCATCTTTTAGAGCAGTTTGAGGTTCACAGCGAAATTGAGAGGCAAGTGCGTAGATTTCCCCCATACCTCCACCCACTCGTGCACAGCCTCTCCTCCCATAAACATCTTGCATCTGAGTGATACATTTTTTACAGTTGATGAGTCCATATCGACTCATTACGATCGCCCAGAGTCCGTACTTTACCGTAGGCTCATTCTTGGTGTTGTATGTTTCTTGGGTTCAGACAAATGTTTGATGACAAACGCCCACCCTCACAGCATCGTCCACAGTATCTTCACTGGCCTAAAAATCCTCTGTGCTCCACCATTCCACCCTCGCCACTTCAGTCCCGGGCAACCACTGCTCTTTCCACCTTGTCAATGGTTCCAGGATGATTTTGACATTTGCCATCAACCATATATGAGAATTTCAGGTGTTCTACATGTCTTCCTGGAGAAGCTTTAGGTTCTAACCTTTATGTTTAGGCTTATAATCTAATTCAAATTAATTCTCATTTATGATGTGAACAGGGGTCAGCGTTCAGCTTTCCCTATGCATATCTAGTTGTCCTAGTTTGATTTTTTCCCCATTGGATTCCTTTGATGTCCTTGTTTACCATTAAATAAGTGAGCTCTCTATTTTGCTCCATTGATAAACTGCTGAATCTCAGCATAGGACCACATGATATTGATTATTTAAGGTAAGGTAGGAAAACCCTTATAATAGTGTTCCCATTGTTGGGACAAGATACCTGACACCCACAACTTAAAGGGGGTGAGGTTTCTTTTGGCTCATGGTTTCAGAGGTTTCAGTCCATGGCCAGCTGGCTCCGAGGCAGAAACATCATGGTAGAAGGGTGTGGTGGAAGAAAGCTGCTCAGTTCATGATGGCTAGAAAGCAGACCACAGGGGAAGAGTAAAAAAGATATAAAGGGCCGGGGATTTAGCTCAGTGGCACCATGGTGCCTCGAAAGTGCAAGGTCATGAGTTCAATCCCCGGTACCAACAAAAAAAAAAAAGAAGAAGAAATAAAGAAGGGGCCAGGGAGCCCATCCAGCGATTACAATCTAATCACTCTTCCACAAGTCTCTTAGTTCCGTCAAATTGATAATCAAAATTAACCAACAAAAATCCACCCCTTGTCAGCTTAACACCTAATCATATCTCCTTAAACCGTACCTAATCGCCAAATAAATACAATAATAAGCCCACAACTCTACTATCATGACATAACTAACCAGCATACAAAAAACACACTAATTCCTCCCCACAAAGTCTCAACAATCCCAGCATTGCTCCAAAAACCATTATCTGTGAAAGCCTATAAAATCCAAAAAGCAAATTCCTTGCTCCCCAGATACAACGGCACAAACATTCCCATTCCAAAAGGGAGAAATAGGAGTATAGAAAAGAACAGGACCAAGGCAAGACGGAAACCTAGCACAGCAACATCAAATCCTGTAGCTTCACATCCAACATCAGGGCGCATGGTGGTGAGATGGGAGTTCCAGAGGGCTTGGGTGGCCCCACCCCATGGCTTTGCTGGTTGTAGTCCATGTCTCCTCTCGCTTGGGCTTTCTCCACTCACTGTGGCTTTCCTTGGCAGACATTCCAGGTTCCTAGCATCTCCAATTTCCTGTGGTCTCACTACAGCTTTGGCTTCACTCACACGACTTCAGGCAGGGGCTCTGATGTCACACTTTGCTTGGGCTCCTGGGCTGTTCTTTGAAATCTGGGTGGAAGCTCTTCTTCCACCTCTTCCTCTTTCTTTTTTCTCACTTGGATCTTGCTATGTTGCCCAGGTTGGTCTTGATCTCCTGGACTCAAGCAATCCTGTCTGGCTCAACCTCTTGAGTACCTAGGACTAGAGATGCATCCACCCAGCCCAGATTTGATTGATTGATTGATTGACTTTTACTCTGTTTCTTAATCAGTAAGCTTTGGTGGTTGGTATCTTTCAAGGATTTTGACCATTTCATCTTAGTGGCTGAAACTATGGACATAGTTTCAGATTCTCTTTATTAGTCTTTTAGTAGGATTCAGATTCTCTTATTAGTCTTTTAAGGTATGTAGCACCTGATGTATCTTATCTGTGATTCCTGATGCTTTAATTCATGTATTGTCTTTTTTTTTCTTGACCAGGTTGACTAGAGATTGATGAATGCTAATAGTAACCTTTTCAAGAAACTGCTTATAGTTTCATTTAATCATTTTTCTCAATTACATTGATTTCTGTTCATATCTTTTTTGTTTCTTTCCATCAGCATTAGCTTGATTTGTGCTTAATTTGATCTTTTATTAGTTCATTAAGTTGGGAGTTAAGATAATTGATTTGAAAAGTTCTTCTCTTCTAAGCACTTGATACTATACATTTCCTCTCAGTACTGCGTTTCTTGTATTCAACACACTTTTTATTTTATGGTTTTTGTTTCGTTTTGTTTTGGTGCTGGGGATCTTTGTGCATGCTCAGCACACGCTCTGCCGCTTAACTATACCAGCAAGCCCCTCAATTAAAATAGTTTAACATTTCCCTTTTGACTTCTTCGTTGACTCGAGTGTTATTTATAAATGTATTATTTCATTCCAATCCATTTGGGGGTATTTTCAAGTTATATTTCTGTTATTCATATTTGCTTTCATTTTTTGTATTTTATGTTCCCCAGCCTGTTACTGATCTTTAAGTCAGTCATACAGGGTCTGGGGCTGCTGGGCTTTTGACTGAGAGAATGGAAGATCTCGATCTCCTCAGCAAGAAATAACAGACACTTGGGTCTTCCCTTTGGCATTTGAACTTTCTTAGCCTCCTGATGGGGAGGACACCAGTGTTTGCTTAGTCCCTCTCTCTGATGGGACTGGGCACAGTGACCCAAGGCTTTCACTCCATTTTCTAGAAACTTCTGACTCAACCCCCCATACAGACCCACAATTAGCAATCTAACATCCTGTGGAGAACACTGGCCATCCACTGGGAACCCTTTTTGTTTCCACTCTCACACTGGCACTATGAGACCACCCAAATGCCCTCTGGCCTCTTTCCTCAGGACAGCCTGTTTGCCTGAGCCTAGAACTGAGAACTGTTCCTAGCAAGGAAAATAGTATCACCCTGCCGAGACGGGTTCTGGCTTCTCTGGATTTTAGTTCATCTTGTCCTCGTTACCACAGCTCTGGGATAGCTTTAAAAACATGATTTTCTAATTATCTCTTTTACCTAGTTAACATAATGAGAGACTAGGCCTGTGATAGCCTACTACAACCAATCCAGAAACAGAAATCTCCTTCCCTTCAACACTTAACATAACTTTCTTGCCTCTTTGTATATCTGTCTAGAGTTTCACGGCAACTATGTCCTCCATTTTCATTTAAATAACATTTTCATTCCCCATCTTCGCTCCTGTACATACCCGCATTGAAGTTTTCTGGGACTTTAGTTTCTGCATTGTTGTTGTCATCTTTGCCGCTGCTGATGTTCTTATTTTATGCGGTAAAAGTCAGCTTTAACTACAAAGTTTTAGTCTTTGTTTCCCAGTGCTGAGGATTGAACCGACTGCCTCGCACATGCTAAACAAGAGCTCTGCCACTGAGCTACAGCCCCAGCCCTTTTTACTTTATTTTGAGACAGGGTCTGGCAAAGTTGCCCAGGCTGGTGTCAAACTCAACAATCCTCCTGTGTCAAAGTAGACGTGATTTAACATCATCACGCCTGGCTAAAATTTTAATGTTTTTTAAAACTCTGTTTCCTGTGTTTCCTTCCTTCCTTCCTTCCTTCCTTCCTTCCTTCCTTCCTTCCTTTCTGTCTCCTAGTCATTTTCTTTTTCTTGATGATAATCATGTACCACATAGCAACATTTTGGTCAACTATGCACCACAGAGGTGACAGCAATCCTAAAAAATCCTATCATCTTGTATTCTTCCTGTACCTTTCCTATATTGGATGCACAGATACTTACCACTGTGTCACACCCATGCAGTAGTGAGTACAGCAACCCGCTGTTCGAGTGTGTAAGCCAGGAGCAACACGCTGTACTACAAACCCTGGTGTGGAGTGGGCTTCGGGGTCTGCATCTGTCTCAATCCCTCTCTGGTGGTCACGTGACAAAATCCCCTAGCGATGCCCTTCTCAGAACACTGGAGATCCCCATTGTGACATGGCAGGATTGCATGTTCTTGAGTAGCTCCTTATATTAATGTAAATTTGTTCAGAGAGGGTTTGTCCAAAACATCTTCATATTGGTCTCATTCTTTTTTGTTTGTTTTTTGGTACCAGGGATTGAACTCGGGTCCTTGAGCTTGCATAGCAGGCTGCAAAACCACTGAGCTAAATCCCCGGCCCATCATTCTTTCTTTTTTGTACCGGGGATCGAACTCAGGACCTTGTGTTTGCAAGGCAGGTGGTGCCACTGAGCTAAATCTCCGGCCCTTCCTCTGATTCTTGAAGATCAATTGGGTTAGGTGTAAGATCTCAGGAAGGGGATTTAGCTCAGTGGTTTTGTCGCCTGCTGAGCAGGCGCAAGGACCCGAGTAAGATCTCGGGATCAAAATAATTTTCTACAGAAATGCAAAACTCATGTTCCGCTGTGTCCCAGTGGTGCCAAAGAGAAGCTGTTTGTCAACCTGATTCTTATTTCTCTAAGAATAAGTAGTCTCCTCTCTCCACATCATGCTATTAAGATTTTTCTTTCTCTAAAAATTTGCCTCTGTGTTCGTGAGTGAATTTCTCCCTTTATACCATTTATCTTATTTATTTAGCTCAGCACTTGCTTGATTGTCTTAACCTGAATATTCTCACCTTTCTTCAGTTCTGGAAAATATTCTCCTATTGACTGATTATCTTCTCTTTTTTTCCCACTTTCTCCTAGGGAACTTCTATCAAGTACTAGATAAATACTGAGGTGTCTGTATCTAGTCTCTATGCCATTGAGGTTTTTTATTCTTTTTTTCTTTTTGGTCATTTTGCACTACAATTTGAGAAAATCACTCAGCTTATTCTTTTTTTTTTTACTCAGCTTATTCTTAACTCACTAATTTATCCATTCAAAAAATAGTTTTGAAATACCGCACTTATACCAAAAATATAAAGAATAAATAATATAACAAACACACTAGCACGTGTGACCTAACTTTGTCTGATTTTAACTTTTCCCATAGTTGCTTCCAATCTTTATTTTATTTTTCTATATTTTTTAAGACACAAAACATTTTCAATACAACTGAAGCTCTTGTTCTTCCCATTTCCCCATTCCACTCACCCCTCCCCTCTCCAGCAGGGTCATCTATGATGAATTTGCGATTTATGACCTCTAAATTGCCTTTCCACTAAGATATCACAGAAATTAGAATTCACGAGTTTTGTAACTGTTTAAAATTGTGAAAACACCATCACAATCAAAATATAAAGCAATTCTTTCATCCAATTTCCTTGTTCCCCTTTAGAGTTGATTTCTTATTCTTTCCCTGGCCCTGAATAATAACTGCTATCTATCCCTATAGTTTTGGCTTTTCTAGTACTTTCTGTAAATGGAATCAAACAGTGCATATAGTTTTTTAGTTTTTATTTGTTTCTTTTAGCATAAGGTTTTTTCAGTCCTGGGATTAAACCCAGGGTCTTCGCACTGAACTACATTCCCAGCCCTTTTTAAAAAAATTTTTTATTTTGAAACAAGGTCTCATTAAGTCAGTCTTAACCAGGCTGGGCTCAAACTTGTGATCCATACTTCATATGTATTTTAATGTGAATTTTACTGAAGTATAATCTGCTATACTGAATGTATTAAAAAGGTATATAATATTATTTTTATGTTTTAAACTTTATATAATAGATATTGTACAAATCTGTCATTCTACAATTATTTTTAGGCATTACATGTTTAAAAGTTATTCCTGTGGTTACTCATAACACTGGGTAATTCATTTTACAGGGTTCTATAATAGGATCAAAACATTTGTTTATCCGTTTTCTGTTGGATCATAGGTAGTTTCCAACATTTTGCTATCACAGAGCATTCTGCAGTGAGTTCTCATGCATATTTCTTTACACACACAAAACAGTTGCCCTAAGCACACACCCGGAAGAGCCACCGGGCTGCACACCTGTAAGTTTCCTCCCATTTCCTCTTCAGCTGTATTCATGCCACTATTCAGCCAACTTACTCATTTCCAATTTGAACAATTAATTTCAATTTCCAAGATCTCTTAGTGATTTGTTTTAGTAACAGTTCATTCTCAATTATGGACACGATAACTTCACCAGAGTCCCCGGGGATAATCATTACACGACTTTAAAGATTTTTGTTTGTGTTTGTCTCCTTAGGACAATCCCCATGGGTTTCACATCTGTTTGTTAAGTCGGATGCCTCTTTTTCATGGTGTCAATTTTGTTTAAGACTGGGGTATTCTTGGTTTTCTGCTCCCCTTTGCCTCGATGGCCCTCAGCTGCCAGTCTCTGAAGGGTGCTTCTGACTCGGGCTTGCCCTGATAATCACTGGGAAGGAGCCCGGGTGTGGCCCGCTGGAATGGGACCTTCTTATTTCCTGGTGTGTCCTGGCTATCCCTGGGCCAACCTGAGTCCAGTGCCGGACACCCCCACTCACCCTGGCCTGTGGGCAAACTCCCCCGAGAGCTGCTCAGCCTCGAGTCCTCACTTGGGGATGGGGCAGGGGTGGCCGGCAGCCTGATGACACACAAACACTCCGGATGGTGATGCCCCTGGCCCCCCGTAGGGCTGGACACCCCTCGGTCCTCTCCAGGGCCACACAATGAGCAGGGAATCTCTCCTCCTATGCTTTGGGCTGTGGACTCCTTAGTTAAGCCAACCCTTTCTACTTTCCATCTTTCTGGAACTTCTCAAAGTTTCTGGTCTACTGAGGACTTTCTTGTTTTCAACAACTGTTATGGATGGCATACTTTTATGAGTGCATGTATTTTTTTCTGTTATAATGAGATATTTAGTGACAGGACTGTGTACCCAGTCTTTTATCCAATCTTTTGTGTTTATCTTCTCTTTTAAAATTATTTTTAAAAAAATACTATGCTCCCCAGGCTGGCCTTGAACTCTTGGACTCAAGAGATACCACTGCCTCATCCTCCTTAGTAGTTGAGACTACAGGTTTGTGCTACCATGGTTGGCTGTGCTTATCTTCTTTAAATTCTGTCATCTTTCTGTCTTCCTTGCACCTGCTTGATCTTGGTCCTCTATGTCCCTCAGTTCCTCTCTGGCTGTGTTTGCGTCTCTCTCTCCGAGTCTCTGTCCCTAGCTGTGGCTCTGTTCCTATGTCTCCATGGCCCCATCCCAGTTCTAGGTATCTCTATTCATCTCTCTGTCCTGGTGCTCCTGGCCCTCGGTCTCATCACCCCCTAATCTCAGTGGCTGCTCCATTCCAGTGCCAGGCTCTGGCCCCCGTGGCTGGCTGGCTCTGGAGCAGTTTGTGGGTGGGGGAGCCCCAGATTGCTGCAACGTGGAGCAAGGATTTCCAACACATGCTCCCCCTGGCAGCCTGCCACCACAGCTCACTGCCTGCCAACATCACACTTCGACTTAAAGAGGGAAAACTGCCAGACCAATGTTTTAGCTACAGCCCCGTGTCAGGGTTGCGTGGGGAATCTCGAAGCAGCCCCTGCCAGGAGCTGGGGTGTGAGGGATTAGGGAAGGGGCTCTGGGTTGCCGGGGGTCCAGGCTGCCACCCTCCCTGGCCTCTCTGGTCCTGGATACCAGGACACTGGCTTGGAATCCACTCTGGGCTCTGGGCTCTCCTGGAGATGGGGCCCTTCCCTTGCCAGACCACTCCTGGGCAGGTAGGTCACCAGGGGTCCTGCTTCGTCTTGTCACTGTCTCTCCTGCCCCATGCCACCCCTCTATCTGTGGGTGGGGTAGCCCTGGGCTGAGCTCAGGGGATGGTCAGGCATAGGGGGAAATCAGCAGAATAAATCTGGTGGTACTGGGAGAGACAGGAAATGTCAAAGAGTGGCTTAGAAGAGAAGAAACAGCCCTCTCCCTGTGAGAGCTCCCTCCTTTCTTCAGACTCAACCCTGCCCGTATAGATGAGCCATCCTTGCTAGTGTAGACACACCCACCCATTGAAGCACTTGTCCTAGCAAATACGGGGGCCCTATTTATGTGAGTGTAGAAGTGCCCATCTCTACCCTTGCCAAGCACGCTTCCTAGCCAGTGTGCACTGCAGATCTCCCACGATAGTCACACCCATTCCTGTCCTGTAGACACTCCCAGCTCGACGTCTACACTCGCCTCCCTTCTGCTCAGTGTGGAAGCATCCTGCCGGTGAGCTCTAGTCCTGTCACCTTAGTGGCACCCTCTTTCGACATCTCAGATGCCCATACTTCCGGGCAGCCTTCCTGTTCTTTCAAGGAAGGCTCAGGGCAAAGGAGAAATGAATCCATCTCTGCAGTATACAAACACTTGGCCCAGTCTGTGCCCTTGCTGATGACTCCTCCCAGCATGAACGTGCCCATCGCAGACCCCAGCAGTGCCTCCTTTGAGGATCAGAAGGTCCTGCAGCCTCAAGTGTAAAAACACGAGTGTGTGTAAGCAGAGAGGCACCTGTCCTAATTAGCATAGAAACCTCCATCCCTGAGGGTACCAAAGGCTCCAGGTCCCACCAGTGTAGAAGCGCCCATCAGCACGGGAGCAGCTACCGGCGTGAGTGTAGAAGCTCCCAGCTCTGCCAATAAAGATGCTCCCATCTGCTGCCAGAGCCCAGGAGGCCCCTGGAGACACCTGGCAGACCCGGAAGGAGCGGGGAGCAATGAGGGGGGAGGGCAGCAGGGAGAGGCGGGTCGGGAGGAGCCACCCTATCAAACTGCCGCCTGGCGGAAGTGCCGCTGCCAATATAAACAGATAAGCACTAATAATTACCCTTTCTTAAAAGCCCCACTTGTGTGTCCCATTTTCCTGAGGACGCCACCTGCGCAGCTGCTCCTAATCAAGGACCATTTAATTCGTTCCCAGATCATTGTCTGTACTAATTGTCTTAAACAAACCGAAGTTCATTTCACCTTATTCCCCAAGGGCCTGGAGGGCTTCTAATTACCTGTAGGTGGTTCGCCACACAGCCCTGCTTCAT